AAGAAAAACGGATTTCCAAAATCCGTCCGTTTGATTCTTGTCCACATCAATTTTTTTTCTTTTATTTTTTGGCACAAATTTTTCTTTTTTTTTAATTAAATAAATGATTCCTTATATATTTGCACTTGAACCCCTATATATCATGAAATTACACAATTAACCTTTGGTTGATATAGAGATAAAATAAAACAAAATATTATATAAATGTCAAAATAATTTTTTTAATAAAAGTGAGATAAAAAAGTGAGAGTAGTGAAGAACCTTGTGAACAGCTCCTAATTGAATAACACCTTCTCTAACAGCAATCAAAGCAATGGTCTGCATTATAATAAAAAGTGAAAACCCATGTAAATATATATATATATATATATATTGGTATTTACATATATATTTACAAAAATATATATTTTCTTATATATTTTCATATATAATACCTTTATACCAGACTGAAATTGAGCCTCCCATGTCCTTGGCTGCTGCTTTGATTAATGACAAACCAAAATAAGTAAGTAAAAATAAATAAAAATATAAAGAAAGGGAGAATATATATAAGAGAGGGAGATGCTACGGGTCCCGTAACGGAACCATTTCGTCGGAGTTTGTAAACCTTTAGATATATCAATTATCCCAGATGGTTACATGAAGATCCAACGGTTACAAATCCCGACGGAATGGTTCCGTAACATAACCCTAACATTTCCCTATAAAGAAATAGTAATAATAAATTGTTGTTGCTAATAATTAATATTATAAATGAGTAGCTAGCTAGTGATTAATTAATTTATTACAGAGTCAGGTGAGTTATGCCATGCAGATAAGAAGTTGATTTCTTCATCATTTGGTTCTTTGTGGATCCATTTGTGCCCATGATCAGCAGCTACTTTTCCAATCAATCTAAAAATAATAATAATAATAATAATAATAATAATAAAAATTAATAATAGTTTTATATAAAAAAAATAAAAATAAAAAGGAAATTAATAAAATATCCAACCATCTTAATATTTAATAATAATAATAATAATTAAAAAAAAAAACATTAATTTTCCTTCTTCTTCTTCTTACCCTTCACCAAAATTGTAGATTTCATGGGACATTTTGAAAAACAGCTCAGGCTGCAAGCCTACTTGGCTGCTATATTGTTGATTATTATAATTATTATTACAATTTTCGTAGACCGTCGATTCTTTCCCCGCCGCTGCATTGATCTCAGCCGTTGATGAGGCTGCAAAATTGCAAAACCCGTCTTCCCAAACCAATATCCTGATCAACAAGGAGAAAAAAAAAATTATTAATCACAAATTAATAATTAATTAAGCAACTTTAAGGGGAGATGCTGGAACCACTCCGTCGGAATTTGTAACCGTTAGATCAACAATCTCCGACGGTTACATGATGATTTAACGGTTACAAACCTAACGGAATATTTCCGTAACGGACCCTAGCATTTCTCCAAGTTTAATTGCATATTTATGGGCTTCAAATAAACATACATACCAGTTTCTCCTCACTCCTCTTGACCTCTCATACACTCCTCCTTGGCTATCCCATCTATATATAATCTAATATATATTAATAATTATAACAAAAAATTCAAATAAAATAATAAAAAAAAAATGGGAATTTATATAATTAGTAAATATTTAATTAGAAGTAAGTAAATTATTACTTGGGAGGTGGATAGTTTCTAGGCAAAATCCTCCAGAAAACAGCATAAACCCATTGAGAGTTGTCATGAATGCAAAGGCTTCTTAGAGTGTGCTGAAGAAGATGAGTTACTGAGAGTGATGAGCTGAGCTGTTCTTCCATTTGCCCTTTTCTTTTTTTTTCTTTTTTTTTTTAATAAAAGCTCTTTATTTTTTTTTTAATTTTTTATTATTATTTGAAATAATTTTTTCAAAAGAAGTAAAATCCCAACCTATCTTTATATAAGGCCACTACCAAGGAAATCTTGCATTTATTTATACCTCCATTTATTTATCTCTCTCTCTCTCTCTCTCTCATAATAAATTTTTCTGCTTTAATAAATTTTTCCAAAATTAAATGATTTCAAGATGGCCCACAATATTTTTTTTCTTTTTAATTACTCTTTGAAGACTGTGGTATAGTCCAATTATGAGTGAGAAGACCCAAGAAAATAAAAAAGCAATTAAAAAATAATTGTTCCACATATATAATGATTAATGAGTAGATCCTCTCCATAATTTTGGCCCATAACTTTTTTTTTTCCTCCCCAAAAATTATGTTATGTATTATACATTATAAATATATTCCCCTGCCCACGGTGGGCAGTACCCACTTGTTTGTTTTATATAAAAAACATATTTTGAGAATACGTTTTTTAATTAAATTTAATTGAAAAACGTATTCTCAAAATACGTTTTTCATATAAAACAAACTAGTAGGCACTGCTCACCGTGGGCAGGTAAGCGGGACTGTTATACATTATTTGTATATAAATAAATAGGGCCTAGATGAAGGCCTGAGTAGGGACCATAGCGGTACTTTTATTACTGCTTTTCGTGCCCTTTTTTGGGCGTTCTCGAGCTATAATGCGGAGGTTCAGACGCTTCATGAGATCGCTCTACAAAATGCTGCCTCGATCTCCACTGACATTTGTATAAGTTGGAAGTTGCCTCTGTCGATGTCATCATTCTCTTGACCTCTGGTCATCACGGCACGTGACAGATTCAACGCCCTCTCATGCGTAATTAAAGCCACACTTCGATCAATTTGCTTTCGGATCTCTCACATCTTCCGCGAGGGGAACCGACCTGCTAACTTCCTCGCTGGCATCGGGTCCTCCACCCCGAGAGACGTATTCTTTATCCTGACGATATTCCTCTACGCCTCCACCACCCATAACGGATGGACCAGATGAGATACCATTCATTCAAATTTGCGTAGTCAATCCTACATTTTGGTGCATCTGCTCTCCCGTGATGCTGACTCTTCGCCTAGACTCTTCCCGAATCAGGCCATAATATTTTTGTGTTACTTGCTGCTATTGTTTTTTTTTTCTTTTAGCTTGATGTATATCAGACATTAAACTTGTAGCTTATGACTCTTCAGTACATTTAAGATTTTTTTATATACAGGTTGGAAGTCCAGACTCAATCCCTACCCTTCTGAAGTTGTGTTTTGGAAAATAAATAAATAAATAAATAAATAGGGCCCAAAAATTTGAGAGCCATAGAAAAATGTGTAGCTGGTCCTTAGTAAACCACCTTTTATGTAAAACTTTCCATAATTTGCCAAAACAAGTGGAACTCAAACTGTGGGGGTAAAAACTGTAATATGGGCTAATCCAATCCAATCGCATCTATTCTATTCTATTATATACCATTAAATGAGTAGAAGAAAAATCACGTGAAGTTGCCCCTTTCTCATTGAAAAAATTAATTAATTAATGGTTTCTTTTGTTGACCAATCCTACTTTCTTTTCACCCAACTCCTCATCATCACTTTTTTAATTTTTCAAGAAAAACATGTGGAGAATTAACAAATAATGCATACAATTGTAAAATGAGAAACATGAAAAAGATGTTTAATTAATTTGCTTTTATTTTCTACCTTCTTTGAGGAAAGTGATACTAATTCACATCTTGCTTTCCTTGCTTAAATATGTTAAATTAAGAGTTGTGATGAATTTGATTTGTTTATGTATAAAAGTTAGTATTACATTAATGCTACTATTATGCATTTATAGTACCATTTCAACATATATGCATACTTTTTTAAAGTAGAATGTATATTTAAAAATAAAAATAAAATTGATATTTCACATTATTAAGAAAGTACAATTGGTAGGCTATGCCTCATATAAAGATTTGTGTATAAATAAATAACAAGTCTAGTCCAAGATTTAAAACATTTTCATGCTCCTTTTCGGGCCTCCTCGAGTTATGACGTGGAGGTTTAGGCACTTTAGATCGGTCTACAGGTTGCTGTCTCGATCTCCTAAAACTCCCCTCACATTTGGATTGAGTTGGACGTTGTCGCTGTCATCACACCCTGAACCTCTGGCCATCAAGGCGCGTGAAAAATTCAACATCCGCTCATGCGTATTAGAGCAACTCTTCGGTCGATTCGCTACCGGATCTAGGACATCTTCCGGGAGAGGAACCGACTACTGACGTCCTTGCTTGCATAGGGACATCTACCCCCCAGAGGTGTATTCTTCATCCCGGCGATGTTCCTCACTGCCTCTACACTCCTTATACGGATGGACCAGATGGGCTACCCATCGTTCAGATTTGGGTAGTCGCCCCCATTTTTTGGTGCTTCTACTCACTCGTGGTGATGAATTTTCGGCTGGACTTTTCTCGGACCAGGCTCTGATATTTTTGTGTCACTTGCTCTGTTATTTCTTTTTTCTTGATTGCTTTCGTTTGTTTGCATTGTTGTATCTTGGATTTAGGACTTGTAAACCTGTGACTATTCAGCCCATATCGGGTCTTTCAATATACAAGTTGAGGGTCTAACCTTAACCTCCACCCTTCTAGAGTGTTGTTTTGTTAAAAAAAAAAAAAACCTTTCAATGATTAGAAACAATGCTTAAAATATTGTATCACACCAGCCGATATTAGCGTTAATACTGGATACCACTGGTCTGGCCGATACAATTACTCTTGAGCTATGTTTGGTAGACAAATAAGCTAGCTTATAGCTTATTTGGTTAGCTTATAAGTTCTATGTATTCAAATAAGCCTCGTGTGGTAGGACGAGTTTTTTTTTTTAAAGCTCGAGCTTATTTGATAAGCTTCCTTAGGTAGATTTTCAAATAAGCTATTTGATTTTTTTTTTATTCCAGCTAACTTATCAGTTAGTTTTACCAAACACTTTTATCATATAAGCTAGTTTATCAGCTATAAGTCATAAGGTATAAGTTATAAGCTAAAAAATTAATGAAAAGTTATAAGCTAGCTTATCAGCTATCAGCTATCTTGTCAGCTAGTTTTACCAAACATAGCCTAAATACAGCTTTTGCCAAAATACTGGTTTAATTATATCGCTTTCATACCGAAAAATACAGGTTTTATCAAAAAATACTTACCAAAATACCTGCCAAAATACCGATTTATATTGCATTTAAAAAAATATTTATTTTAAAATGTGTTTTTATTAATATAAATTGAAAATTTTACAACTAATTTAAATATGTTTAAATTGTAACTATATTTTTATTAACTTTAAAATTTATTAAAATTAGTTTCATACATTCTTTATACTTTAATTAAATTAATTTAATATTTACTGAAGCCGGCAAAGTAGACAGTAACAACCGGCTGAACCGGTTGGACCGCATACCGGTAGCTCATTCGGTATGATTACCAGTACGGTATTTAAAACACTGATCAGTATCATAATCCGACATTTGAAAAAAAATATATATATAGTAATTTTCTCACTTTTTTTGTAGTACTTTATTTCATTATTATTATTATTTTTTTTTTCTCTCTCTCCATAAGTGTTTGGAAAAACTCAAAATAAATGCTAGTGAAGTACATAAGTAGAAGGGTATAAATAAGTAGTCTCTTTTAGTACTATTGAACAGTTTATACATCACTCTCAATCAGTTATGACTTATGAACCATCGTGTGTACAAAACTTGTCACAGTTTAATGAGTGGTCGAGTTCTTCACTGTACCTTTTTTTTTTTCGGTCTTGGGTAAATTCACTACTGTTTTTTTTCCTACATATTTATAACATAAATATCAATCAAATTCTGTTACTACATAAAAGAATGTGTTCTTTATGTGGCTTCCTAATTCTATATGTGTCCACGATCGATCACGTAATCGGCTCCTCGAGATTGCTGTATTAAAATTGACGAAATTGGAATATAATGGACTATTTTTTATGAGAGGAAAGTTGATGTACCAAAACTGGATAATGACTAATTTAAAGGACCAAAGTTGAATTTTTGCCGTTCATGTAGGTTTATCTATGGCTATTAGTACTTTTGAAATTATAAAATACATGGTTAATTCAAATTATAAATATATTTTCAAATTTATTTTTTTTGATTTGTTTTTAGTTCTTCATGTATAATATATTAAAATGGTTTTTCATGATTTTTCTGTTTTCAATATATAAAATCCTCCTCTCCTTGTCTTTGTTTATACTTGTCTAATGAAAATTAATTTTTATTTGTTATTAGTTCTTCATGTATAATATATTAAAATGGTCCTATGTATGTCTTTCGTTTTTCGATTATTTATGAGGACCAAATTAAGAAAGCTACATAAGGGCGAATGAGGGATCTCATGACCGACCAAACAAGGAATTTTGACAGAGCATTAAAACTTTTTTTTGACCATTTTTTTTTTCCGAAACCACAAAGGAACTATTATAAATCAAAACGCACAAAGTGCGAATAAAAGTACAAAGCTCCCAACGGGAGAATAAAATGGGAGGACAGGTCTGACGACCGCCTAGAATCCCAATAATAACAACGCTAGAAACAAAAAACACACGACAAACACTAAGAACTACAAACTAAAAAACTAAACAGCTCCCAACAGGAGAATACCTGAGTGTCGGATCCCAATAGGATAATAAGTTTGACACTCAGGAGAACAGAGGCCCAATGGCTCAGACCAAAAACGCAATGACCACACAAACTAACAAACACAACCAAAATAGCAAACAAAAACACAAAACTACCAAACAGAAGAAAACACAGGCAACTAAACTAGACGTGGCCAGGTGCCGGGTCCGGGCTCGGCCCGGCCCGGCCCGGCCCGCCGGGCCACGGGCCCTCAAACAGCCGAACCGCGACCGGCCCGCTAGGAACGAAGGGCCGG